TCCCGTAGTTCTCGGACGGGTCAAGTGAAGCCCGTCTGGGCTTTTTACCGTGTGTGTGGTTCTGGCAGGTCGCTGGTGTAACAGCTTTTTTTTTTTCTTTCTTTTTTTTTTGTGTGGTTTAGCGAAGTGAGGAACTAATGGTCACCCGGTTGGCCGACCGTGACATCTGCCATGTTCTTCCTGATGTCTCAGGAAAACTGTGGGAGGGTCGAGACTTTGCCAAAAAGAGTAGAAATTAAGCAAAAATTATTAACCTCCTCCTCTGGAAGTCTGATACAGCACCTGAACCTGGGACCTCCATCCTCCTTCTCCGATGGATCACACGGCTAGGCTTTGTTTTTGAAAATAAATACTAATAAAAATCATTTTTATAAAAATTACCTACTGCAACTTTAATGTATCACATTAATATCATAAAACCCCTTTGCTCGAGTGAGCTCTCAACTTTAGTTCAAATAAGATTCCTAATCAATTCAAATAATGCTTTAAATGCTCAGCTCAACTGACAATTGGTTTTTTACTTAACAGTGTTACCAAGTAGTGTACAGTTAACAACAAAAATCCAATTCATATTATCAGTTCCCTGTGACTTTTATAAGCTTTTCATTTTCTTTGAAGGATAATCATTTTCCAAATGAATCTTAATCCTGAAAAAGACAAAATTTCAGGATTCTTCTTCAGGCTTACATAGCAGACTGCTCAATGGATGGGCAGGAAAATACTTTATGAAATCGATTTGCTTACAAATAACAGTTTTAATATACGTCTTTTGCAGCCATTCTCTCCTGTTTTAGTGTTTGGTGCACTTAATGATGTAAAGAGTGATTATTTATGCTGGCCATGCAGCAAACTCCATGCAAACTTAGCATCAGATTTTCAGTTCTAGTGCCAGTGCTTCGGCAGTCAAAATAAGTGCCTAATAAGTACAGGCTTCATATCACAAGATTTTTTTAAATTAGCAAAACAACAATGCTGATTCACAAAACTAATAACTTTTTTTTCCAGAACTCTACATTGATTTGGAGATCATTTAAGACGAATGTTGTTTTTAGACCGTCACCAAATGAATACATCAGACAGGTTTATTTTACAAATACAACATATTTACTCTTGTCTGGTACGCAATAAAAAAATAGCTGCTTTTATTTTATTTACATGCCGTTAATAGGCGTATAAAATTGCACCACAAGTAAAAAGAATTGTAACAGCTAAAACGATATATAAAGAACATGGTGAACGTAAATGGTAAGTAGATAAAATTTCTACATAGCACTTTTTCAGTTACTGACCACACAAACCACTTTACACAGCCAGATTCACCCAGTTGCATTCATCTTTCCACTGAGTCACTCACATGATGAGTAAACGATGGCATATGAATCTGTTTTAATGCCGTTTTGCTAAATATTCCACAGGATTTTACCTAAAATGGTACACACACATTCACACACCTCACTTGCCACTGACCTGCCATTGTTCACAAATGAAACCTTCATGAACATGTAATGGGATACGGATTTTGGCACATTTTAAATGTAAACACAAAAGTTATTGTTTGGTGTGTAGAAAATAAAAACAAAAGAGAGGCGAAGTTTGGTCCTCCTGTCAATGACACTTCATCAAACTCCTGAGATCCTTGCTGCAGTTTGTTGAATCCATTTTTTATGTAGAAGCTTATTCGTCCATGGACTCATCATCTGCTTTCAATAAATCTAAAAGCAGACACAACAGAAAAGAAAAAAAAAACATTTAATTATTTGGCTATGCTACTCCATGCTGCACTTTCTCTGTACCTGTTGGGAGCTGCGAAAGTTACAGGCCTCTTTTCAGTGTTTTGAAAAGAGGCCTGTAACTTTTGGCCTCTTTTTAGTACACTGGTATAAACTGGTTAAATATTTTTGCACACTGGTTTGGAGGAAAAACAACAAAAGTATGAATTGGATAGATAAATAATCAAACATTGGGCTAAAGTCAATGAGAGGGGACAGAGAAGGAGGGCAACACTGGGCAAGCTGTAAACATAGAAGCATAATAATTCATCCAGTCAAGATAGCGATGGGTTGTATAACAGCAACAGTAATTTACCACTGGAATATTATGAATTTTTCAGCAGAATTTGCACAATGCAGTGCTGTAGACAGATGAAATGCCTCAACACTAATAATAAAGTAGCCAAAGTTTAAAGTATAACTTTGAAATCTTTAGAAAACTTAAGAATGGATGAAATCCTTAGCCCGTACCTTGCAGAGTGTCGCGAACGTTCGTGGACAAGTTCTTCATCTTTTTCAAACTTTCCAACAGGGCAGACGCAGTAGCTTCTCCTTGCCCCCTTCTGTTCTTCCACTTTACCAGCATCTTATGCTTCTGCATGGTCACATCTTTCTCCGTCTCCAGGATGTCATCCAGGTCTTTGCTCAGTAGACCTAAGTAGATGGCTGCCTGCCTCCACTCTGACCCAAAGTTCTCGGCGAGCTGCAGGAGATCTAACTCTGACAGGTCCTGACCCCGATGGATCTTTGTCTCATTTTTCGCTTCAACTGGAAAAATGACTCAAATTAACCAGAAAAGTTTTGTTTAGTAACTAAACCCATCTTTTGTCCAGTAAGTGACCAAAAGATGTACACTGTAAGAACACTCTCACCTTCACCTGTGGGACAGAAATGATTACAATGTTAGTGACACTGGAAAACCTGAAAAATATGATAGAAAATCTGTCTAACTAAAAGCTAAAAAAAAAAAAAAACATACATATGGCTCTTTTCCCTTGGTTTTCTTTTAATGCAGCCCACCAGTCATCTGTAGAAAAAAAAAAAAAAAAGAAAAAGACTGACATCGTTCATGTTCTAACAAAAATCAAACTACAAACCAGCATAAAATCCCTGTGGACAGTTTAACTTTACTGTATGATTGGTAATCCTTTTGGCCTCAATAAAATATGAATAAAAAGTAGAAATTTAAGACATTTTTGAGAGGGATGAAATCATTGGTCAGATGTAAAATGTCATGTAGATTAAAAAGAAGGCATACAAGTAGAACCTGATAAAATGTATTTTTGTAACTTTGTGTTTTTTAAATTGTATGTTGAGAAAATTGCTTTAGCAACAATGGACAAATGGAAAAAGGACAAATAGCCATTTCATGGGAATTTTGATGATATAAAAAAGTGTTTAAATAATTGGACATCTGAAGATGAGAATGTGAGATTTAAATATCATGTAAGGTGGAAATAATTTGTGTCTTTCTGGTTAAAGACACAAATGTCGACATTTAATTGATTAGAAGTTGATGAGTATGAACTTCTAAGATCTTGTATCTTCTACCTGCTCCTTTTCGAACAGATAATATTGCATGTCACTTGGGCATGATAATTTGTTTGAACGTTTATCATTTTTTTTCTTCTTTCTTGATTTTACTTTTGTCTGTTCGAAATAAAATAAAACAAGTAAACTAGTATCAGAGAAGTTCTGGCAATCAACACCATATTTTTAAGTTACTTAAAAATAGAGAATATAGTTACATGCTCTGTCTGTATTTTTAACAGGGGCATGAATATGACATGAATATGTCTTTAAAATAAATCTACTGAAAAATATACAAATGTATTTAACAGAATAAGTCAAATTCAGGATGGCTCAATACAAAACACACACAGTGCCTCTTCAGTGCAAACATTCTCCTAAGCACAAGTCATAAACCACTGTCCTGTAAGATTCCTTTCAATGTTAAAGTGTGTATTTCTCCAGTTAAAAGCACTGGTACCTGATCTGATGACAGCAGACCAAACGACCTCATCCGTGCTCTTCATTAGAGACCATTCAAATGGAGGCTGGTCGTCAAAGACAACTTCGAAAAAGCCTATTAACTGTATCTCAGCTAGTGTAAATTCCAGCTCCTGCAAAAAGACAGGAAAATTTAGCCTTGCTGTTGTAACCAAAAGTTACAAGACAAAAAAAAAGCCCTGCAGAAATATTGAAAAAGATAAAGTTAAAATAGTCCAAGATCATCTAGTTCCCCAAAATTCCTGCACACAACTTGATGCTTTAGTATTTTTGCACTTGGGAGCGCAATCCAATCTTAATGACGCTCATAATTCATGAACATGAAGATATGCACACCTTAGGACTGACCACTCCCTCCGGCTCACTTGAAAAGCGAAACGTCCCCTCAATCAGTCTGCACATGGAAGATTTATCCATCCTGATGTATTTATTCGTGTAGCTCTGAACCTGTTCATCTATTTCCTGAATGAAGACAGTAAAGCATAATGAAAAACGAAAGAAAGTTAATCAGTTTCCTGGAAACAACAACCAGGAGAATTAAAACGAAAACACCATGAGAGCCAAGAAACCACGTGGAAAAACTAACTGCAACATATTTAAAGAACTGGCATCTTTCATTTTGAGTAGTTATTCACCAGCTGGATCCTCCCAGACCCACATGTTCCTGCAACCACAATCTCACTTCCAGAATGGCATCACAGCTGATTTTAGGTTGGTTTTAAATTTAAACATTCACTTATTTCCTCCTGCTCAATGTTACTCTCAGATATAGAGTTTGATAAAGAGAATAAAAGCAGTGACCACCGTGTTACACAACAATGGAAATGAGAACCGTGTTAATTTTAAAACCATAATGGAAGCAAAGATGAACAGAAGTGAAAGTTACATTGGGCTCTAATTCTGTTCTTACTGTTTCCTCACGGTTTTGAAGGCGAGACATTTTGCTGGAGTTTCAATCATAAACATTTGAGCTGATTTCATGAATGCAATGAACATTACTTCATGAATGGAATATTTCTCTGTGTGAGGATAGAGTTCGTTTTTGTTTTTGTGTGCACACTAATGGAAAAATAAAACTACAAATAAACTAGTTGCTTTTTATAGCTAGAAATAGTTGTGTTTGTTTTGGGGGGAAATCAGTCAAATATTTACTCTGTATTTAAAACTGTCAGAGACAAAAGTTAATGCTATAAGTCTACATGTTGAAAACATGCCTACCCAGGTACCACATGATGGTAATTCAACACTGAATTATAGTCAGAATGGTTGATTTTTGGTTGAGGTCGACAACTGATGGTGAATTAACCATCAAACAACCATCCAATTCTAGCCAAGTAACCAATGTTGAAAATGTGTCATTGAATCAATGTTGTTTTGTGGTTGAAATCTAATGAATGAAATGCCAATGTCTGATCAATGTGTGTTGTTTTGCCACACCCCTTCCTGTCTTCTCCTCCTCATTGGAGCTCTGGATGACAGCATTTTATTATTGAGCGAGGGATAATCACGTTTTAAATTAATCCCTGTGGAGGATAGTGGGTTCCTTTCTGTACATTTTCTTACTTGTCCATAAAAAACATCACTGACTGTGTGTGATATATTGACACAAAAACATCTACAACTTACTACAAGGAGTGAAGTGGTCCACTCCCACTATTTACATGAGTGGGATGTCCCAAACACACAGCCACTTCGCTGTTGGTTTGTTTGCAAAAGATGTTACTTCACTGTTGAATTATGATCACAAAAGTTGAATTTATGGATAACCCTTGTGCATGCGAGGACTGTGGCAAATGATACAAGTTTTACGTGTGTGGGGTTGGTTGGACCCCATTTGTAAACACAAGGGTTAAGGTCGATGACTGATGGTTGATAAACCATCAGACAATCATCCAATTCTAGCCAAATAACTGATGTTGAAAAGATGTCATTGAATCAATGTTGTTTTTTGGTCGAATTCTAATAGTTGAAATGCCAGCATCTAATCCAGTGTTTTTCAACACTACTCCTCAAGGTACACTTGAGAATTGGTATTTCCCCAATTCAGAACGCATGATTTTAATTGATGGCTGATTAACAGGGTTTTGCTGAATTGCAAACATACAGGTCAGTTTGACTTGAGGACCAGTGTTGGGAAAAACTGCTAATCAATTTTGAATCCAAGCATGCTGTTTGTTGCACCCCTCCTCCCTTCTTACCTCCTCTCTTCCCCTCTGCTACTACCTTCCCATCTCTCCCTACTAACCTTCCCCACTTTTCACCCCCTCTTAAA